TGTACAATGATAAATTATAAGATAGATGACTTAATTTAATTTCATGGAATGATGATGAAGGATGATGTTGGCCCTTTAATTCTTGATGATTTGCCATTAGACGGTTGAGGAAGAGTTTTTGAATTAGATGATATTGAATATGTTGATATTTGTGCTGTATGTAACAAAAGCTAGTGAAAGTTCTCAAAAGATTCACCAAATATAATTTAGGTTGAATATTAAATACTTTGAATGATTGACAAAGTATATTTATTATATAGTATTTAATGATTTAGTTAATGTAACAAATGTTATTGGAAGTTTGTAAAAATTCACCATACGCAGATGAGGTAAAATATCATTTAACTTGAAAGGTTGGAAAGGTGTATTCATTATATAATATGTAATGAATTGTTATTTATTTTTTCTTCATTATGAGCGATTCATTATTACTAATATTGTTGCAAGAAGGAGAAAAGGAAAGGCGTTGGATGATGAAGAAGGTGAATGGAATGACTTAACTTGAAGGTGTTGGGAGGGTGATGGTGCTATTTTTTTTTCTAATAAAATTGTTATTTATCATGATGATTCTTTAAAAAATGCTTCTTGTACTTATGATAATGATTATGTTATTTTTTTTGGGCATAAAAGAATTAACCTAGGGCATTAAATGCATAAACTAATAAAAGCATAAAGTGAAAGCTTCTGCTATGTTAAGTTATTATTTTTTTAATATTTTTCAATCTCGAAACTTTTATTTGTTGTTTTGAACTTTGTGTGTTTTCTTGTTTTATGGGGCTCTTTGAATAAGATAATACTTTTTGGATTAAATTTGTGTATTTTTTTAATTTTTCATACTTTTAGTTTTTTTTTTTTCTCTTTGAATAAAATAATACTTTTTGGATTAAATTTGTGTATTTTTTAATTTTTCATACTTTTAGTTTTTTTTTTTTGTGTTTTTAGTTTGAAATTTTTGCTTTATTAATTCAATTTGTAGCTTACGTTTGAATTTGATTTGTAGGCGTTTGCTTGAGTTATTGATTCTCGCACACTCATCTTCGACACTCACGTGTCTTCTTTGGGGGCGGCTTGCACATCAAGCCTGCCCAGTGCGTAATTTTCCCTAACAAAAATTACGCCGCCTTGCTTCCTATGGCATCACTCATATGTACTAGAGGTTTGTCACGTCATGCTACTCGACATGGATCACGCCCCCAAAAGCCTTTTGACTCCTCCGAGTGCGTGATATGTGTCCACTTGGGCACATGGCTACCACCTGAGGAAGTTGGTTTGTTTCTTGATGCGGTTTTTTCTAAAGCTTCGCAAAACCTTATGCATGATGCTTATGGCCATGATTTAATGTGATCTTTGATCTGCCCACTTTTTCATGTTAGATTCCCATTAATCTACGTCTTTTGTTTGTGTAACCTTTTTTTCTCTTTTTTATGCACGACTAAATTTATTTAACTTGTTCTATGCTTATTAGATTCTTCTCAGCAATCTTTTTTTGTTGCTGTTTTGCTCCTTGTTATATTATACAACCATCTGTGCCTATGTTACTATCTGTCACACACAACTTTTTTGTTGGTTTTTGTCTCGTAAGTTCATCATTCAAGGTGTATCATATGATTTCTGTTCTCACTCTCTCTTTTGACATACTTTTTTTTAATTCAAGCTGCACCTTGGAGTTAACTGTCATTCTAACTAAATTTTTCTTCACTTTTCTTTAATCCTCATATGCATCATTTGTTGAACTGGATCAAATGCTATCAGCATATCTTATGTAATTTTTTTTTTTTTGGTTATATATTCATCTCCACTGACTTGGTACAAAGTGCATATGCAGATTGATTCATTATTTATTTACGAAATTCTTGGGTCTCCTTTTGGTCTACTAATTCCAAGTCCCTTATTTTCTTAGGCTTCTTTTTTATTTAGCATAAACTTTCATATACTCAGAATTTAGTCTCATCTATTATGTTTAAATCTCTTGTTTTTGAGTATAATTTGATGCTTGTTTCTACTCATTTATTGTTTATCAAACGAATATTTCTATTAACATGTGTTCAATAACTTACTTTAAACTTAATACACTCTTTATAACTGTTCAATAATTAACTCTATATTCAATAACTACAGCTTTTAGGATTCGTGAAAACCGTATGAATGTCCTTTTATTTGCTGTTGGCGTGTAAAACTGTTTATTATTGGTCATTTGGACAAGTATTAACCTTTTTTCTTTCTGTAGGCGAGTTACCAAATCACAAATATTTTATTTTTAAGGAATTGTTGTTTTTTTCTTTGCAAAAATTGTAATGTGTTTTTGGAGGAGAGTTGACCATACAGCTGTATATTATTTATGGATGCATATTTTGGGAGTATAGAACATTAATGGAAAAAAAATTGCTTAGCAAAAGGTGATGCAATTTTGAAGGCGAGAAATTTTTAATCTCAAGAAAATTGCCAAAAGAAACGAATTGGAATATTTTTTTAAGTTCAACTCAAAATCTTGGCAAGGGATGATTAGTTCTATTGAGAAGATTTATGTAAAAATTTTAGATGTAGTTCACACACATGAATGGAGACTTGCTCATGGGATGAGGTCATACCCAATGTTATTAATGTAAAAGAAAAGGTTATTTTAAGAAGGTATAAACACTAATGTGTCTTATAATGTTTATAAGAAAATTACGAGTAGGAATGTTAATTCATGTTTGCAGGTTTTGTTTAGGTCTGAATTATTATTGAAGTTTGAAGAAGAGTTGATGAGCTGGAACCATCAACAGACTTAAATCCAATTGTTAGAGCCATTTTGCAAGCCAACTAACCTAGCCACATCTAGATCAAATTTTGGACGTAACCAACACCTTTATTTTGGAACAAAACTAGACTCCTTTTTTTGCTAACTGTATTTATGAACCTAGTGATGCAAAATCTATAATAAATAGATACTTGAGACATGTAAATTTATTCACTTTTTAATCAACACACACACACACACGTGCATGTATTTATGTGTGTGTATTGCTTTTTTTTTAACTTTTAATCATGTGTTGAACTTTATATTCGAGTGTACTGCAAGTTCATTAGAAAAATTCCAAGAAAAGATAAATTCTTTGCCTTGGCATGGGTTTTTGATTTTTGTTCATGTTGGTGTTTCTTAACTTTCCTAAACATTTTGTTATTTGTGTTGCCTGGGTCTTGATTTTGGCCAAATTTGTTGCAAATGATATTTCAATTGTGGTGTAAACGATTACTTATTCATGACTTTCATGTTCACATTTCTTATTATTTTTTCCAAACCTATTGATGGCTGCATTTTTTTTTTTGGGGTTCAATTTCTTTTATCGTAAGTTCACACATAAAAAAAATGAATTTTTGTGTAATGAGCGATCTTTTAGTCTTCAAATCCTAATTTGTTGCGTGATATACATTCATTGTATCATCCTATTTGTTTTAAAAATTCTTGACCCTGAGTGCGTGTTGTTAGGTGCTTGATTTATCAACCAATCATATTGTTGCCTTGTTTTCATCAAATTATTTTCAGAGAATTGTTCCAATAGTGCTTGAAGGCAAATATTCCGAGCTCACAATCCTTAAGAAACTTTTGCTATTGTACTCGTCATTATTTTTGTTGTTTGTTTATTGGATAATGCACAATAGTTTGCTTTGTTCGAGGAAGTTTTAATGAACCATTAATCACTTTTATTTTTTTTCATATTTTTTATTTTTATTCTGTTGTATTAATGTTTTGATTTGAAACAAAACATGTTTGATATGTCTGATGAAGATATGATAATTTTTTAAACCACCCAACTTCTGAAAGTTATTTTGAGTGTTTTCAAATATATGCTTATTTATTTGTAGAATTAAAAAAATAAAAGGGGCAATTACATACCGGTCACCTGAAACAATGCTATTTACAAATAAAGCACCCTCTTTTATCTATTTTTCAAATTCTCACACAAATATCAAAATTCATGATAAATCCCCAATCCATATTTTTCATTTTTATCAAATTCTCATGGTTTACTGTGGTAAAAGTTCTTGACAGTTTTCTTTTTTAAGTGTAAAAAGTACGCACCTGTTTTGCGTTGCGTTATGCTTTTGGCAAGGCAGGTAGAAAGGTAAACCAGGTGAGGCTTTTGTGGGTGTTTGGATCAATGATGCAACCATACAACTGCGTTATCTTCCTGAAGCATCTAAAGAGGGCATGAAGCAACTAGAACAGCGTTACTGAGATCCAAATAATACGAGATTTTCTGGGCTTTTCCTTTTATCCACATATTATTCTATTCATTCTTTTTTGTATTCCTTTGTGATTGGATTAGTCAACCTTTTGTATTTCTTTTGGATTTTGATTGTTTGACATTTGCAATCCTAGACATTTTTTAATGTTTCTTTCTCATTTTTACTTTTTTAACCTGTAGAGAAGTTAGGATCAATGATGCAACCATTGAACTGCGTTATCTTCCTGAAAGACCTAGTGGTCTTGAAGACAGCTACATCTTGCTGAGATCCAAATGTATTTATATATATATAAATCCATTGTTTTCTCCGCTTTGTAAGATTTATTTTTTGCTAGTCATATTTGAAATAGAGATTGTGGGAAATAAGGTTGATCATATTCGATTGGTTAGATTCCTGCTATTTAGTTATTGTGCTCTTATGTGCAAAACTACAAGAAGCTGCTATACTCTTTACCATAATTAAACGCTATTTTTTCCCTTTGAGACATTGAAAGAATCCTTTGAACTGCATTAAATTAAAAAATAATGCTTGAAATGTTTACTTTCAACTCAGCATGCAGTAGCTTTTTATTGGTATCAAGTATGTTAAGTTTGTATTTTTAATTTCCGGTTCATCATATATTAATGATCTTTTCCCAAGTATTGTGTAACCTAGTGCTGCTATTATTAACATTATTTTGCGTCACTGCTCGACTAGAACGCTTTTGTTCCTCAATTGCTGCAACCTTCAAAATTAACAACTTTTTTTTTTTTTTTTGGCTTTTTGTGCAGCGAGTCTACGACGGCAAGCACGCTTGTGGCTTAGGAGCATTTTAGTGCTTGCTTTTTCGACGGGGATAAACCGATGAGCCATTCCTA